CTTTAGTGTCATATGTAACATCACTAATGTTACAGAATACTAGACCTACCATGGACCCAGCAGTTGCCCTCCTTCACCTTCGTCAAGAAAATCAGGCCATCGAGGACTCTGTCGAGGAGTTCTGTGGACTTTGACACCTTGTTGATTTTAATGACATGGCATTAAAAGACATCTTTCGGATGGGCTAAACGAACCGGTTCGGTCTCTATTGCCTAATTCATTGACTATGCTCTGTTGTTGAGTGGCTCATCATTTACTGTGGGTTTTGCGGATGAGGAGCCCTGCAATCCCACAGGACCCTCCACACCAGAGTGTTTCCACGTCCCTACAGTCCTGTTAGGATTTATTCATGCCACGACCACCACACCAGAGCCTTTTCACGTCATGCCTGCCACACCAGAGCCTGTTCACGTCATCCCTGCCACACCAGAGCCTGTTCACGTCATGCCTGCCACACCAGAGCCTGTTCACGTCATGCCTTCCACACCAGAGCCTGTTCACGTCATCCCTGCCACACCAGAGCCTGTTCACGTCATGCCTGTCACACCAGAGCCTGTTCACATCATCCCTGCCACACCAGAGCCTGTTCACGTCATGCCTGCCACACCAGAGCCTGTTCACGTCATGCCTGCCACACCAGAGCCTGTTCACGTCATGCCTGCCACACCAGAGCCTTTTCACGTCATGCCTGCCACACCAGAGCCTTTTCACGTCATGCCTGCCACACCAGAGCCTGTTCACATCATGCCTGCCACACCAGAGCCTGTTCACGTCATGCCTGCCACACCAGAGCCTGTTCACGTCATGCCTGCCACACCAGAGCCTTTTCACGTCATGCCTGCCACACCAGAGCCTTTTCACGTCATGCCTGCCACACCAGAGCCTGTTCACATCATGCCTGCCACACCAGAGCCTTTTCACGTCATCCCTGCCACACCAGAGCCTTTTCACGTCATGCCTGCCACACCAGAGCCTTTTCACGTCATGCCTGCCACACCAGAGCCTGTTCACATCATGCCTGCCACACCAGAGCCTGTTCACGTCATCCCTGCCACACCAGAGCCTGTTCACGTCATGCCTGCCACACCAGAGCCTGTTCACGTCATCCCTGCCACACCAGAGCCTTTTCACATCATGCCTGCCACACCAGAGCCTGTTCACATCATGCCTGCCACACCAGAGCCTGTTCACGTCATGCCTGCCACACCAGAGCCTGTTCACGTCATCCCTGTCACACCAGAGCCTGTTCACGTCATCCCTGTCACACCAGAGCCTGTTCACATCATGCCTGCCACACCAGAGCCTGTTCACGTCATCCCTGTCACACCAGAGCCTGTTCACGTCATCCCTGTCACACCAGAGCCTTTTCACGTCATGCCTGTCACACCAGAGCCTGTTCACGTCATGCCTGCCACACCAGAGCCTGTTCACGTCATGCCTGCCACACCAGAGCCTTTTCACGTCATGCCTGTCACACCAGAGCCTGTTCACGTCATCCCTGCCACACCAGAGCCTATTCACGTCATGCCTGCCACACCAGAGCCTGTTCACGTCATGCCTGTCACACCAGAGCCTGTTCACGTCATCCCTGCCACACCAGAGCCTTTTCACGTCATGCCTGCCACACCAGAGCCTTTTCACGTCATGCCTGCCACACCAGAGCCTGTTCACGTCATCCCTGCCACACCAGAGCCTTTTCACGTCATGCCTGCCACACCAGAGCCTGTTCACGTCATCCCTGCCACACCAGAGCCTTTTCACGTCATGCCTGCCACACCAGAGCCTGTTCACGTCATCCCTGCCACACCAGAGCCTGTTCACGTCATGCCTGTCACACCAGAGCCTATTCACGTCATGCCTGCCACACCAGAGCCTTTTCACGTCATGCCTGCCACACCAGAGCCTGTTCACGTCATCCCTGCCACACCAGAGCCTTTTCACGTCATGCCTGCCACACCAGAGCCTTTTCACGTCATGCCTGCCACACCAGAGCCTGTTCACGTCATCCCTGCCACACCAGAGCCTTTTCACGTCATGCCTGCCACACCAGAGCCTGTTCACGTCATCCCTGCCACACCAGAGCCTTTTCACGTCATGCCTGCCACACCAGAGCCTTTTCACGTCATCCCTGCCACACCAGAGCCTTTTCACGTCATGCCTGCCACACCAGAGCCTGTTCACGTCATGCCTGCCACACCAGAGCCTGTTCATGTCATGCCTGCCACACCAGAGCCTATTCACGTCATGCCTGCCACACCAGAGCCTGTTCACGTCATGCCTGCCACACCAGAGCCTGTTCACATAATGCCTGCCACACCAGAGCCTGTTCACGTCATGCCTGCCACACCAGAGCCTGTTCACGTCATGCCTGCCACACCAGAGCCTGTTCACGTCATGCCTGCCACACCAAAGCCTGTTCAAGTCATGTTCAAAGTTTATTAATATTTTTTCAATCTGAAATTGTATTTGTAGTTGATTTTTATATGCCAAGCGTTGGTATTTTTCATGCCCTTGTTAACTCATATTAAAGGGTCACCAGCAGGTTACTTTAACTGCTTTAAAAGATATCAAAGTACCAAATTACAGCCTGTATTGACGAATTAACTGTAGTGTGGCTACAAACAAATTAATGTGCACTGGAAAAAGTGTTATTTTGCTGCTTTTTTTTAATTTACGCAAAAAAACTATTTTATTTACAAAATATTTATCTCCAACACTCACTCACACAACAAAGCCTGCTCTCGTGCGTTGTGGTGCTCTCGGGAATGTGCGTTGGAGATTAATATTTTGTAAATATAGTTGCTTTTTTGAGCAAGCCAAGTACTCGCATCACTAGAACCACTAGTCACATGAATTACTTTATTACATACTTTACACATGTATACTTTATACGGGTTGAAAACGCTTGTGTTTCTGACGTCACAAACTACCTTGTAACCAATCACGTCAAAGTGTGATCATCATCTGAGCTGGTGTGAGTGGGGGTGGGGCTAATTTGCATATTCATAGAACTACATATACTAAATGAGGCAATGGTGTAGTTACATTCAAGCTAAGGCATGAATAATTTTTTTTCAAGGAAAAAACATTTAAATATGTCATTTCGGTTTTCAAATGTGAGTTTTAAGAGATAAAATGATTGACTACAGGGGGACTTTAAAAAATGTAGTAAAATCAAAAGTACTGTTTACGTACATATTTGTTTTGTAAATTTTACTTAAAGTGCCCCTATTATGCTTTTTCGGATATATACCTTTCATGTAGTGTGTAATATAGCTGTTTGTGAATGTAAAAGGTTTGCAAAAATTAAAGAAAGAACCGATTCTAAACTCCATGAAATGAGTCGTCAGTAATTCCAGTCTTGCTTCCTGCACAAACCTATGTGGGTTTGTAACAAATTTGCATAATGCCATCCTAAAATTATCATTGGCTGCCCGCAAACAATTGGTGTGTTCGTCTTGATGCGGCGCTGTGCAGACCGATCAGTGTATGACATCAAAATACCGCTAGAGAAGAGAAATTAGAGAGTAGATGTTTCCGTATGCTTTCGAATTGCTCTCGCAGGACTTTGATGTCATACACCGATCGGTCTGTGCAGTGCCGCTTCAAGTAAAACACACCCAATGTCTGCTTTGACCCCCCCTCAAACACTGTAGTTGTTGCTGAGTTCTGGAAGAGTTTGATTCGTGTTGTCGACATGTCAAGCAGATGCTGTTCAGCGCTGCGAAAGCAAATCCACTTTGCATGCACTTCCAAAGGAGCTCAAATTGATACAGTAAAACTGACTCCATTGTTACAGTTTGTATAACTTTGTATACAAGTGCTGAAGAAGCCTCTGGAGCTGAAATTCAGATATGATAATGGACGTTTAATTTCCGACTGTAGGCTGTTGACCACCAATCACAACAGAGTGGGCCATCTGACCAATCAGAGCAGAGCAGGCTCTCAGAAAGGAGGGATTTAGAGAGACCTGATCCTTTATCAAACCATTTGAGAAAGTGTGAGAAAGATGTGATGTGCAATGTATATTATGAGAAAATTTTCCCTTTTCTTTTACCTTGTATGCATGTTGTAAATCTATTGTAGGAGACCTCCAAAAGAAAAGTAGGAACATTTCAAATAGAAAAATAGCAGCACTTTTAGGCTACTTAGTTATTAGGATTTGAATTTTGCCTAAATGAAAAAACTTGTTTGAGTAATTTGAGTAAATTTTACTTGTTTTTCAGTGTGGATATGACAGCTCAGATCATACCTCAGTCACAAGAAATGTTTCATTGAAAAGTTGAGATCTCTGATTGCAGACGCATATTGGCAGGGTTTGAGATGTTGTTGAGATCTGAAAATCTACAGCATCTGAGATCTAAGAGACTTAAATAAAAGACTCCATTTACTCGTAATGTAATTTCATAGGAGAAACATTTAAGGAGATTAGCTTTTAGAGATCTCTTAAGTAATTCTTCTTTCCTACAGAGAATTTCCACTCTTTGTTCGCAATTGCATTAGTCATTTTGTCTTCCTCCTCTGTTCTTCTATATTCTGTCTTTCCCTCTTCTGCATTGTCTCCTCTTATTAGGTCTCTGCGTTTAGTTTTGAGCTTTCTCAGTGGGTCTATCAGGCATTAAGACAGACACAGTCTTCAGCTGTTGAGAGGGAGTGATGGGGAGGAGGCTGAAATTTTCTGGCAACCTGTGTATTTGGAAACAGACCTGTTAAAGTCAGATAGAAGCAAATTAAGAGGCAGAATGCAAAGACGCCCAGTTGTTTATGCTGCCTCAAACTACCTTTTATAGGGAGGGGGGATAAAGAGAGAAGACTAAAACGGGAAAAACAAGGAAGCCTGAGGTGTTACCAGACGGGGAGGGAGCAGTCAAGAAATTAAATATCTAGGAAGGGACAAGCAAGAAAAAGAATGAGAGGATGAGGGGCTTTCTGGTAACTGATGCTGACGTCAAGGAGATGAAAAAAGATAAGGAACAGAAAGTAGAGAAGGAGCGCATGTGAATTAAAGGCAGCAAAAGAGGTTCGAACTATGGCTGGAAGTCTCTATAGATTGTCCCTGGAGGAGATTGGATCGATCAGATCTCTAGAGGGTCCAGGAGGTAAGACACAGAGAACAAAAGATCAGCTCAGCTCTTTAAAAGCATGCTGTGGTGTCACTGGATAAATAGGGACTTTAGTTTGTGTTGTGGTTTTGCAGTTATAACTGTACATGCAACTACAATAATGGATGAATTGATTGAAATGCCTATGAAATGTTGGTATCGAGAGTTGTCATATTCTCATTGTAGTTGATAATAACATGATCAAGTCATACCACTTTCGGTGTTAAATTAAAATGTTTAAAAGTTAGATGAATCATAATCATTAGGCATTATTTGTGCACTATAAACATATTTTCATAATTGCTATCATTGTGATTATATTTTTTCCTATTCATGGTATTCTATCAGGTCAAATTAATTGTTCGTTTGATTACAGAAACCTCTCCGCAAGTTACGTGCATTTAATAGGGTTAGGAGTTTGTTCAAATCACTAACCATAATTATGAATAATAGTAATAATCGTAAATGGTAGCACTTTTTATTGGTGTATATATTTTGTATTTTAAAAGCATTCCTAATGCAATGCAAAATATACCAATATACCACATACATAATGCAATCTATTATATTTATTTCCATAACTTCTGATACATTATAATACTTAATTATTTCATCAATGCCAATAAGGTAAAACAAGACAAGATGCAAAAGCTTATGTAAGCAGTTGTTTAGTAAAGGACTAACACATTCAATTAAGTGAGGGTGTCAAATTGAAATACATTTTGATATTTGATATACAGTGGGTTGTTTTAGAATGAAATAAACCAGCTAATACTACAAAACGCCACAGAAATAATCAAATCAATTCACAGTATGCTTTTGTTGCGTTTCCCTACGAAAATGAAATCACCTCTTCCAGGTTGATATCTTTAGTCCTATTTAGCAACATGACTCAATGTGTCAAAGTTCACATGGGATATAATTGTGTGTAATTTATCTTGTAGAACCAGTATGTCCAATAAAAAATAACTAATAGGATTTCTGATCTTTTACATTTGCAAATTTAAGATTTGATCCAAATCATCAATACTGGATGTGAACATGAAAATGTACTAAGGCTATAAAGAATGTAACATTATACATGTTTGGCATCATGTTAACCAACAGCTCATTTCATGTGTTTTATAGTGCTATAATGCGTGACACTATTGAATAGTGTAAAATCTAAGACCTTATGAATGAATTATTAATACCCTTATTCATACAGGCTTCATGTAAATTGTCATACATTTTTTTCATTCCTCTCTAGAGCAGAATGTGTGTGTGTGTGTGTGTGTGTGTGTGGAGAGAGGAGAGACAGGGAGGGGTGCATTGAAAGAGAAGTGACAAACTAGTGTCCAATAAGCTTTGTGCATGAGGCACATCCTGTGTTTGTTATAGCTGCCTTTATTTCCACATTTCCTCCCTCTCTCTCTCTCTCTCTCTCTCTCTCTCTCTCTCTCTCTCTCTACTCCCTTTCTCTGATGTTCAAAATACAGTCATTTATGAGTGGAATACATTCCATTGCATCTTTTCACAAAAAAAAAAAAAGCAGTTTTCTCATATTTATACGGACAGTTTCCTTGGTTATAAATCAGTATTGTTAGACTCAACTTTTTATTCTGAATTAAACTTCCAGTGACACTTGAGATGGTTGGCAACAACATATTGACAACGTGTCCTTCCCGAACACAGTAAGCAGCATCAGCCTCATTAATATTCAATCTGCCTGTTGAATTATGCATGATTACATTCAATCACGTGCTTACACACCTGTAGGCCGTCTGGGTATATTGCATGAGTAGGCGGGCTGACATTTCCTATTAACATTTTTGAAAGACCAACAAGATGAGCCTTTTAATATTGTAGGTGTGATGTGTCAAGCTGTTGAGGAATCAGTAGAGGGAATTATGGGTGTAATAATGACAGACTGCATCTAGGAACTCAGATTCAAATTCACAACTACAGTGGGATCGCAGATGGAGCGAAGGAGATTTGATCAGTTGTTCTGGGGATGATATGTGATTTCACATCATGTCATCTGATTGGTTGAATTCTACGGGATTTACGGCGGATGTGTGTGTTGTGTTCTTTAACGGTCCTCCTGGAAACAAAGCCGCTGTGACGCCAAACCCCCTCTTAGAAGAAAAAAGACATTGTGTTTACAACTGTGACAATACTTATCAGGATGAACTAAACTGGATTTTCAAGAGTATGTGGAGTATGCACCGCCATTGTTGCAGTTAACTTGAACAAAGTTATTGAATTAATCATTTATTTGATGCATGCCAGTCTGTTGTCGTAGGGACATCAACTTTACATTTTCACGCCCCTAAACATGATGTGAAACGAAATTAACTGTAATTGCTTTACATGACGGTAAGCCGTCCTCTTGGCCAATGAATACCTGCCGTCAGTCCGAAGGTATGACTATGCGAGACTAGTGTCACCTGGGCATTACTTAAAAAAAAATTCATTTAGCCCATGCTTTTATGAAGTGGTTTATAAATTGGGAAAAATAAATACGAATAATGATAGTTGTAATGATGCACAATCAGGCAAAGTAGGGTATTAATGTACAAAAATATTTCAGATGACTGGACCTTTAAACCTTTACATATAATGCAGTATTCTCCAGACGTTTTTAAATACTTCAACCCTTTCATATCAGAAAGATCTGTCTCTGTAAGGTTTATAGGGAGATATTAGAATAATTTTTTATTACATGCTTAATTTCCAGACAATATTAGTTTCTGTGGATCAGATATACATCTGGCATTGTAAGTAGATCATAAAAGGATTGCAATGGGCTCTATGCACGGCGGTATTTCCGGTGAAGGTCTAAGGATGCTGGATTACTTCCGCCGATCGTAGAGTCCAATGCTGTACCGAGAATTTATATTGGTTTTTATACTCTATTGCTATAATAAAGAAACGTTAGTCACAAAAACAGACAAAACAGACACCCCTCATTTTGTTTATGCTTCTTTGTTTATTATATTAAATAAACATAACTATATATAAAATTACATCTAAACGTATTAAAGTTTCGTTTCAAAGACGAGAGGACAGTAAATTTTGAAGACTCTGCCATAATCCCGTTTTCCTCCGCTTTAAATCTCCCCAACCGGAAACGCACGAGCATCCTTGCATCAAACGTAATCAAAAGTTATGCGTGCATATAGCCCATTACACTTGGCTCAGTTGCGGTTACAGTTGGCTCAACAACAAAAAATGAACACAACACTTTGTATTTATTTTTTTGAGTTCTGACAACTTTGAATGAAACTAACAAAAACTTAAACATACAAAAACTCTTTTAAATGTAAAAAATAACAGCATTAAACACTAAAAGGTCTTTCCCTTCACTTAAAAAACACATAAAATAACACTTAATGTCAACATTTATGTTTAACACTTACCCAGTCCTATGCAAAGCATCAGACTTGTAACCCGAAGGTTGCCAGTTCAATTCTCAATACCAGCAGGAAAAATGTAGGTGGGGGAGTGAATGAACAGTGCTCTCTTCCACCCTCAATACCCACCACCGAGGTGCCCTTGAGCAACTAAGGTAACCCTGAGTATGGGTTACCATACTTGGCCTTCACGTCACGTCACTTTAACAAGAAATCCACTGCCCATTTACTCAAGTTATCACGACAATTCCATTAAGTCACTAAAACTAAGGTTGGGTTGAAGGGTCAACACTGTATTTATTGATGTAAATACAGAAACCAATTACAGATTTGTTATTACATGCAGGTATTTTTAAATGTAAGTACAATGTTCAATTGTAAGTACAATGTTCAATATTTTTGTATTTGTATTTCTGATGTTGGTTATTATGGTTTTATTGTAATATTTTGCACGCTTTTGGCACCTGCCCAGGGACTGCAGATGGGAATTAGCTTTTAGCTAAATCTGGTACAGTACATATATTGTACATTGTCCCTGTTAAATAAAAAAATAAAAATAAAAAAGTAAAAACATGTATATATGCAATAAGTGCATTGTATTAAATGTTAGTACAGTAGTTTTAGACACTTAATATAAAGTTGGACTGAAATATTTTCACTGTTATTGTAGATATTTAGCTAGTGATCCTTTTTGGAGGGCTGTTGAAAGTGTAAAATGGACTTTTCGCTTATGTCAGGGCCCTAATTTTGTCTTTTAGTATGAGTAAATACATTTTTGGGGGACTTTTAATTGTAAGAGTTTTTTATTTTTATTTTATTTTTTAAGTATAGCCACTGTTATGAGTGAGTGTGTACAGTACCAAATGCACAAACCAATATAAGATCATTAGTAAAAGATAAGACAAAAAGCATTAAAGCTTAAGAAATTTAGCCCAGAAGATTTGAAGAAGATCCATTAAACCCCATGAGAGGTTTGGAAATATGGTTGAGGCATTTTTATTCAAGTAAATGAGAATAAATGTGAGTAATAATTTGGGCTCTAGGGAATGAACCGATTGCATTTACTAGATCACTTGCAGAAATGAGTTGGAGGTTTAAGTGACACACAAACATTTATTTAAAAAAGAAATGTAATAAATCATTAATACAATTATTTATTGGCTGCTATAATAACTATATATATAACTATAAAAATATATATTTATTTTTTTAAATATATATATGTATAAAGCAAATCAAATTGGCAACAATGTCTTTTTTACTGACTATACGTGTTTATGAAGGTATTTAAGAGCAAATACATAAATATTGAGACATCGAATAACATTGAATGGCTGAATTCTTTGTTAAATACATGGCCATCTCTAATTATGAAAACTGTTTGATTGCTTATGCAATATGAAATAGATGAGCTAATTTGCCTTGTGTTTATGAAATGAATTGAATGTTACTGGTGCTGGATCAATATTATTAGGAGAAACAATCAGTCTCAAGTTTGAGCTCCACGTGATAAAATGTCCCTTTAAATGAAAGCAAAAATAGGAATAAAGTAAAAAACAGTGGCCAAATTTGACATTTGAAAGTCATGGGATGATTAATTTAAATAAATTAGTGCAGTATGCCAAATCGTAACCTTATTTGTTTTGTCAGCCGGGCTTCATGCAGTATGAGTGTAAAGGAAGGTTAATAGTTCCAGGAAATGACTGTTGTACTGTGGAAACTAAATACTACAAGCTTTCTCCATTTCTGAAGGAGTGGTGGAATGGAAATGAGTCAGAAGCCAAACGCTTAGCCCTGAGTTGGGAAAATAAACAGCAGTAATGCAGCTCTTACATATAGATAAGCACTGCAGAATTTCAGAGACCTGAATGTAACCAGTGCTGCAGTGCATGTGAGAAAGACATAATGTGACAGTATACAGTGACAGATTCTTGTTGAACATCAAGGCATGTCCTACAGGTACATTTGCAAAAGTTAGTCACGTATACGTTCCGTACACCTCTCCATTAAACATGTTTTAGAATTCTAATCAAGCATAGCTTCTAAGTCTCAGGGCTCAGACTCAATAAATGTGTGTATTTCTTTGGTCTGTCCTTTCAGCTTAAATGTCAGTAAGTCTCGGCAGGATGTCGACATGAAGCTAGTAATGAGCTTGACCCTTCTGCTCAGAGACACACCAGTAGGATGTGTTTCCATAGAGATATACATTACAGAGCTGTGGTATTAATTATAGCAAAGAGGTCTATAAAACCTGGCGAGGGCTCTCCTTTAACATTCACATTAATCTCAGTGGTTGTTGTTTGGCTGGCGAAGGACTCTCTCAGAAGTATGCGACCTAATCATCTTTGCTCACGGAGAACACCATCATCAACAACAACAACAAAAGAATCTAAAAGAGAAATGAGCGGTATAGAGTTTTAGCAAAACTCCTTTAGCTGCTTTGGATTTCTATCTCATTAGAACCCAGATCACAAACTCGGTTCCAAACACTAGTCATTTGCTGTGAAAAAGAAGTACACTTTAGCATACTTTTAAAAAGTGTACTTAGTTGGGAAAGGATATACTTTACAAGAGTATACTCAATGCAAACTGAATGTATTGTTTTCAGACACTTAATTACATGTTAATTGCAATTAAATGAAAATGTATTATAGTTTAGTTTTATATGAAATGCAGTTAGCTGAACTTTAGAGAGCTTCTTTTTTTTTTTTACCCATTACATGTTGGATTCAAGTACATCTTTATATGTAATTTGACATTATTACAAAGTGCACTTAAGTGTGTGTCAATTAACAGTCATGAAAGTGCACTCTCTTTAAGTACACTTAAGTGGCGGTTTATTTCATTAGTATTAAAAAATCTACTTTTAAGATTTTAATTTATACCATGTAGGTAGCCTATATATTATACCAAGGACCCAAATATGATAATCCTCTTGTGAGGAACACCACCCATAAAGACTCATTTATACTGTGTGAGTAAAAAAGCGTGATATTATAAAGACATTAAAAGTTGGCTTTTATACCCCAATTCCAGAAAAGTTGGGACATTTTGTAAAACGCAATAAAATACAGAATCTGTGATTTGTTCATTCTTTTAAACCTCTTGACAAAAATACAAAGATTTTTTTTCAAATGTTTTCACTGACCAAATAATTGTATTTTTGTAAATATAAACAAATTTTTATTTTAATGGCTCCAACACACAAAGTATTTAGGTCTTTCGCCATCTACCATACATAGTATTGTGAAAAGATTGAGGAAATCAAGAGAAATCTCAGTCCATGTAGGGCAAGACAAGAAACAGCATGGCTGACTTGCATATGTGTGAAGGTACCATTGATGTGGAGTATATTGGAATTGTACAACATATACTGACATATATCAAGATGGCATCTTTCCTGGTAAGCAAGACAATGCCAGGCCTCATTCTGCACATGCTACAACTGAGTGGTTTCTAGACACTCCACACTGTAGAAGAAATGTGCTTGACTGGCTTTGCTTGCAGTCCAGGTCTGTTTCTTATTGGAAAAGTATGGTGCAGATCAACCATGAGGGTCTCGTGGATCTCTCTTTTTTTTCTCATTAAAATAAACTCTGTTTGAGGATGAGGAGATTCAGCTTTGATGGTTCTCCGCTGCATTGATCTTCTCTCGTGGCTGTTCCAGTGCTTCTCAAGTATGAAAAGAAACATGTCTTTTTTTTTAGCATCTTAGGTATGTACAAACAAGGACTTCAATGGATAAATAATTATGGCTATTCAAGCAATCTATAAACATTATTTGAGCAAAATGACTCATAGAAGACTATAAATCATCTGCTGTCTCTCTGATCTGCCTTGGAACATGATTTGAGATGCTTTTAATAAGGCTTGTTTAAATAATGAGTTGCCCAGAAAGAACTTTGTCTTTGATCAGTGGGAAATACATGTATTTCCCATTGATGTTTTTCTCATTTTAACAGTGTATAGGGGAGTTCTTCCGAAATAAATATAATTATCTCAATATCATGTTTTATTCATGTATTTTTTGGTTGCTACGTTTTTTGTCTCCAGAAGTGCTTGTCATTTGTGTGCACGCTCCTAAAGTCGGCAAAAAACGAAAGAAAGAAAACTTCTTTTCTTCCCTGTTGTAACATATATCCAAGTGAAACGGCTTCTCAAACAAGATGAAATTTATTAGTGTACTGATAAATCATTTATAATAATAAGTACTTCAATATTCCATAAGAAATCAAGAATTGGCCATTTTTATTTTATGGTGACTTTAAACTGTAGTTTGGGTGTCCCCTCATGCTGTGGTTCAAACTTAATCCAGATTTCTGTACAAACAGGGAGTATTTATCAGCCTGAACCTTAGACACCAATGGGGCAATGGCATAGACTGCCAATGGTTCTAATAAACCAATGAAACCAGTTACGAAATGGCCTGAATCATTTTGTCTTCCTGTCCTCAGCAATGCTGAGTCTTCTGGACACCTTGAGTGACAGCACCAGTTCCACCACAGCCAATGACCTGGACCTCATCTTTCTGAAAGGAATCATGGAGAGTCCAGTGGTGAGCCACCCACTTTCTTAACTTGATGTCCAGTTGTCAACATGAGGCTTTTCTTTAATTAAGAGTTGGGTCTCTGTCTGTAGATAGTTATCATATTTGATCCATTTATCAAAATTGAAAATGTGAGATATAAACAGGCAATTGCGATTTACAAAGTCTGAAGTGTGAAATATAAAGTGAGGATTTTTTTCCCTCAGAATTGGACTTTATAACTCGTATTTGCAAATTTATATACTTATTTTCTCGCAATTCTGAATTTTTTTTGTGTGCAATTTTGACTTCTTTTTTCAAAATTGTGAGATATAAACGTGCAATTCTGATTAAAAAAAATCAGTATTTTTATAACTAGTTTTAAAAAAGACTTTACAACTCGTAATTGCAAGTTTATATCTCACAATTTTGAAAAAAGTTGCAAATGCGATTTATAAAGTCAGAATTGCGGGATATTTTTTCAAAATTGTAAGATATACACTTTTATAAAGTTATAAAGTCAAATTCTGAGGGAAAAAAATACACTTTTATAGTTTATATCTCACAATTTTGAAGAAATATCCCGCAATTCTGACTTTATAATTCGCAATTGTGAGTTTATATCTCAGAGATGTAAACTCGCAATTATGAGAAAAAAAGACAATTATCTTACATTTTTTGGATTCTGTGGTGTGAACAAGCTTCCATAGCTTTGAAAGCCGCTGTCAGCAACATATGGTCAAGTTAGTAGCTTAGCTCCTTTTGGTGCTATACAATGTCTGATGTGTTGTAAAAGTGTTCACAACTGTGGCAGAAAGCATCCATCATGTCTAAATTTGGTCAGTCCAATCGAATCTCACCTTTACAGGTCATTTACCAAAATTCCGTCATCATCTACCCACCCTCATGTTCGGACCTCACATTTTCTTCATATTAAAAAGCACTTTTAATGTTTTGTGTGTGTGTGTAGTCTCGAGAGCACTACGAAGAGCCAAAGCTGGAGGCGGTGAGGGACAATAATTTGGAGTTAGTGCAGGACATCCTGAGAGACCTCACCACCCTCACATCTCACAGTCAGGCGGCACACGAGCTCGTCTGCATCCTCAAAGAGCCTCACTTTCAGGTACAGAGATTCAGTCTAGAGCAAAATCTTCAATTGTGTCCTATAGATTGTGGTTTCTCTCAATACCTGTTTTTTTGTCTACAGTCTTTGCTTGAAACACATGACTCTGTAGCTTCCAAAAGCTACGAGACTCCGCCTCCCAGCCCCTGTGCGTTCATGGACCCTGCGTTCATCAACCAGCCTGTTCCCCCTGATGCTGTCAGGATGGTGGGCATCCGCAAAGTGTCTGGAGAGCACCTGGTGAGACCTGACAATCTGCAGTAACCTCACAAACTGTGTGCTGTTATTTGTTGTGTGTTTCTTTTGGAGCTGTAGGTAATGTGAGCACTGTGCAAATAAAACTGAAACTAAATATTCAAATAAGCGAGACATGACTTTCATAAAACTGAAATGGAGCATTGTAATGTGAGCTGCTCTTTAAAGATGAAGCGTGTCATTTCTTTGCCACGAATAGAACACAAACAAATGTTAAAAACAACGACTGTCTCTAAATAGAGCCCTTTCACATTTCCAGATTTGAAACATGGACTGTAGCACTTTTAGACTTCTGTAGCAGTACATGGACCAGGGTTGTTATTGTTAAAGTAAAACAAATAATGTATATATATATATATATATATAAAAAAAAAAATGTTAATTGAAATAATGCTGAAAAAAAATAAGTTAAATGTTGCATTGGCAAATAACTGAAAAAAGTTAAAGGTGAAGTACTAAACCTACTAACTGGAAATAAATAAAAAATCAACTGAAACTGAACTAATAGTACTGAAACTAAAATAAAAACAAATGAAGATAAATAGTTATATTTAAAAAGAATAAAAACGAATAAAACACAAAATCACATAGCTAACAAAACGAACAAAAACACATAACAAAATTACTAAAAATTAAACAAAAATGATAAAGAAACAAAAAATATAAAAGCAAAATATGAATAAAAAATATAGTGTATATTTATAGGCAATAATTTTAAATATAATTATTATAATTAATATCATTATAATTTATATAATTATTGTATACATTATTATGGATTTCTATTTATAATGTATTATTATAATTTGTAATATAATATAATTAGAATATAATATAATAACATTTTTTGTATTATTATTTGGTCCAACAGCACAAGAAAAAAATACACTATTGCATTTCCAGGACATTCGAGAGATTGATTACGGCATTTAGAAAAGTTTTACATTTGAAATTTATCGTCACTCCCTCATTAGCTCCACCAGAATCAGCCTTGCAGTGTTGACTAGTTGTTTGTAATTAAATGCCAGGGTAAAATAACAAAGTATTGTGTTATAAATTTAAAAAAAAAATGAAAATACTGTATATATAAAAAACACTTGATAGATTTACAGAGTATGCATCATCACAGTCCCTGAAAAGGGTCCAATGGATAGAAGTATATTTAATAAAAATTACACATTTGGAAATTAGCCATAACTTTTTTGGTGAATTATGTTTTTTCTTTCATATATAGCTTTATTTTGCACTCTCACTTTTACTCTAGTGATCGATAAATGTAAATTAATCGAATAAAGTTGAAATTGATATTTAAGAAGCACACAAAAAAAAGTTTTTTAAAAGTAAATAGTGTCACTTTTGTTTGAATCACATCCTGTTTTGTCTGCCAGGGTGTGACGTTTCGGGTGGAGGGCGGAGAGCTGGTGATTGCTCGGATTCTGCACGGGGGCATGATAGATCAGCAGGGCTTGCTGCATGTGGGTGACATCATCAAAGAGGTGAACGGAAAAGAGGTCGGGAGTGACCCGAAGGTTCTTCAGAATATGCTGAAGGAGTCCAACGGGAGCGTGGTCCTCAAAATCCTCCCCAGTTACCAAGAACCCCACACACCTCGACAGGTGGGCAACATTCAGTTATTTCGCAGAATTGTTATCCTTTTTCAAATAGTAATTGTAAATGTATGTAGACAATCCCCTCAATGAAATCACACTAAAAGTGGTCACAGAGACACATTTGAGACATGCTACTGTACTACCAGGTGTAAATGATGTGTCTGCTTGTAATTTATTTAACCACTCTCACCGCTTTTATGTCACAAAATTTTACTGTTCAGGGTCTCTGGAGGTAGCCTGACTACGTCAGACTTTGTACTTCCGCTCAATTTCTGTTCGCTTCTGTACTCAGTCTGAGATAGCGACCTATCTCTCAGTTTTCCTCCGGCCTGAAAACAGCCGGCCAATCAACGAACAGCGGGCTGGCTGAGAGCCGTGACGTAGACGCTAAGCGCCGAGTTTAAGATTTTATTTTAGGTTAGGGAAATCGGAAACGACCGCTGTAAAGGACCATTAAATCTCCCTATCTCTAAAATGGGCCATCACTTTTACCTCCAGCCATAGAGGGGCGGTGTGGTCATGGAATAACTGAAGGTTTTCACTAAAAAGGGACTCTTGCTAAACCTGAGCTAAAATACTCTTTATTTGTTTGTTTTGGTTTAGTAATATTTTCGCTGAATACATAATGGTGATATTGTATTTTTTATTTTGTTTTACAAGAGCATCTGTCACTTAGCTCACATGCTTTTATTTTGAAGTCCGTGAAAAGGAAGTGCAGTGGCGCGCGCGCTGTGTGTATGTTGGCGCACTTTCTATGTGACGCGTCATTCTGATCAAAGCTACCAGAGAAGTGAGACGAGAGTTTTCCAAACTCTGAAATTATAGCTTTAAAAAAGGTTTCTTTCTACCCCCTTAGCTCCTGGCTGATGAAGGGCACAAGGTACCGTGTTAATTTGTCGTATGCTACATTTTGAGAGACTAAAGTGTTGTTTCGTTCTCGTTTGAAGCTGTTAGTGGGTCGTTAGGATATAACGTTAAACTATACAATAGTGTAAATCAGTGATATGTTATGTAATGTGTGCGTGATTGATTGTTACTGTTACATGCTGCAAAACTCTCTATTATTGCTTCGTTTTTCGTATTTGAACGTCTATAGATTGTTTGCAGGAAATTAGGCCTTTATTTGGTCATTTCATATATTTTAGTTTTCTCTCTGAATGGAGATCGTCAGCTGTACAAAATAATTCAGTTAATTTAGTTGTCATTTAGTCCATTTAGCACTCTAATAGGAGATTGTAGTAATTAAAACAATTTATAATGCATATTCAGGTTTTATATAGTAAAATAAAGGCAAGGTTATTACATTAGCCTGCTCACTAAACATTTGAGGTGACACTATTTACTAAAGCCAATTAAATTGCACATCTGCATTCTCATGTGTTTGTTATGGACATGTATAATGATTAGTGAGATGACTAATATTTGTCTGTTTGCTTTCATTTAGCTCTTACGGTGTTTTTGGGAATAAAATTCTTTAAACATCAGTCCCTGAGAGTACCTTGCATCTGTTCAGCCGGGAATGCTACAACCGCAGATATGGAGATATGGGATGCAATTCGCTCTGTTGTGGAGAATATTCCCGGCATTTGCAAACTGAAGCCCGAACAAGAAGAGTGTTTGTTAAACATTTTGAATGGAGGTGATGTTTAAGTTAGAGAGAGAGGTAATTGCGTTATATGATTGGCTTACGGGTGACCAATGATTTTATACTTCAGACAAGCGCATCATGAACAGCATTAATAAAGCCCCAGCCTTACAGATCATTAAATAAAAAAAGTTGTTTTAGGGTTTAGTTACCCTTTAAGGTAAAAATAATAATAATTAATAAAAGTTAACTCTAACTAGCTATTTCAAATTAGTGAACGTTACTAGTATCATCTTACTACTATGCATTTAGATAAAGGAAGCGACAAAAGAAAATAGAATCCATTATATTCATTGAAGCTGTCTACAGTGGATGTGGCGCGGTACGACACGACAAATTCCAGACGATAAATAATGCCCCGTTCTATTTCTGATTTACTCCAAACACTTGCTGGGCGGGGGAAGATTGATGTGTCGGACCGCAATGTAGTTGTTTTTGTGGGGATTTCAAATGAATAGTATTAAAATAGTAGGGTACAACAGGGCTAAAGGCACACCCTAAGAAAAATGCTTTTCACTACTCCTATAGTGTATGATTGCAGAATGTTTTTTTGTATTTTTTGTATTTATGGAGCAAATTTTGTGTAAAAGATGAATCATAAAAGTGGTTTGTTTGTTTGTTCGTTTAAAAAATCATATAAATGTATGAGGTGGTAAGGTGGACCTTTTACTCCAGAGTCCAGACACGGGCAATGAGGCTCGTCAGCATGGGGCAAAAGGCACAAAGTATTGATAGTTATACAAATACTTTAGCTAAAGTAATATGTTTTTCAAAACAATCACTTTAGTAAAGTAAAAAAAAAAAAAAAGTTTTAGTAGGCCTAAACTATTTTTGGTTTATTTAAAAAATAAATTTTTTTTTAAAATTTTGTTCAATAAATATACTGTCATTAAAATATGTTCATTTTAAAAATACAGAAACAAAATTACATAAAAAATTTAAGATTCTGAAAGCACTGAATGAGATCCCATAATAATTTAATAAAGCTTTACTGTGTAGTAACAAATAAATAAATGTTATGAAATGATTAATATCATCTTTTTAAATTTGATGGTTTCAGTATAAATATGGTGATTTTCTCTAAGATGGACACCCAATTTGATCCATTATATTTACTATCTGAATCTAACCATGTCATGTCAACAAATGGAAAAGTCAGCCAGCTGTTTATTATCATGTTAATTATTGTGCCCTTCGCCCCGACAGCAGGAGCGCTTTTTACCCCAAATACCTTACTTTTACATATTCTTACGTTATTGACAAACTGTTGCTTTTTTTTATTACCTTGAATGAAACTGAAAATCGTTAACAAGACATTTGTCTCAAAATATAGACATTCATTTTAGCGATTCTTTTTGCTACATTAATCTACAACATTTTAAAAACATTAAATATAAGATCAAATTAGCGCAGGATCAACTTGCGCTGCTGTCCGCGATCGCGTCAAGGTATGCACAAACTTGTGGTTTAGATCTAGATCTAGTGTTTTAAAAGAAAATATGTGAAAATATATGTCAAATGTGCCTTTTTCCCCTTTAGCCCCATTGTACCCTGTTAGTAAAATAAAAAAACACTCATTTGGGTGCCCCTGTGGATGAGCTGCGCCCCTAGCATTTGGCAATTCCGCCTATGCCGCTGGCAGGCCCTGGGCGTTCCAAATAAATGAACATGAGTGGGGAAAAGTCTCTCTCTTCTTCAGTGTGATCTTTCTCTAGGCACATCCTCCTAGCAGCAACTATAACAGCATGTCAAGTCCAAAATGGGTGAAGGTCTGTAAATAATGGCGCAAATACCAGTAAAGCATTAGTAAACATTTATCTTAAATAAATCTAGACAGTGATCTTTAACACCAAAAGAGGGTTTGTTTGGTGCAAGCTGTTCGTAAAGCTGTTCTAGTCCCTATCCAAATTACATGTGACATAACCACACCCTTTTACCATATTCAAATGAATTTGCCAAAAAAGGAGGTTTGAATGTGTCTGACAGTTCAGTAAGCTTGAAAGCTCGACAGACAATTGACTATTTGAGCAGTCAGTCATTATTATCTGTTGTAAGGTCAATTGGATCACCCGGGTGGCTGTTAATACCAGATGTAACGGGGCCGGAATGCTCTGGAACTCGCATGCTGACACAAACATGCAAACACACATGTAACTAACATCTACTGTAATAACCTTGGTTCAACATTCCTCTAAATTGACATCTTTGAGTTCAAACTTTGGTCAGCCCTGCCAGGTTTGAGCACCTGTCTCCACTCCAGAGCATGCTGGGAGATTAGTGCATTATGCCAAAGCCCTCCCTGTTTTTGACACTGCGCCAACCCCACAGATTGAGATGAGACACAGACAATCTTCAAGTCTGCCCTTATTCACTTTCAGCGGTTCTTACCCACTTTCTGCATGTCAGAGATCTTCATCTTTGCTGCTTATTAAATGACAATTAAATGAGTGAAGTTCTGTTTGTCTGCCCATATGGTGCCATATTCACAGCGTCCCATCTGTGCCTGTCTTCATTTGATCCCAAAATAAACGAACAGCTTCCTGTGCCTGCTGCTAATATGGGACTGGACATCACAGTGTGTTATGTTACTAATGTGATTCACGCTTACATGGCGGGAATATTCATGTTTTTAGGTGTTTGTGATGGCAGATGGTATTGTTGGCATGTGTCGTGTTGTTGTGTTGTGTGTGGAGTATGCTTGTTGTTGACTGTTTGAATGATGCAATCCAGGCATATTTTCCGTGACATTGAGGTTCCAGCACCTAATAGCAACATTCCACTGGTCTGCAGGTAACTACAGTTGCCATGACAACGGGTTTTTGGCTCTTACACTAACATTCGACTTAAAGGGATGGTTCGACCAAAATTTTGAATCCTGTCATCATTTACTCACCTTCATTTGATAAATGCTTTAAAATGCATTTTGTGAATATAAAGGTGTTCACTTTTAATGTTTTTGACATTTTGTAGTTTTCCTAAGTGTGCTTAAAGGGATACTCCACTTTTTTTGGAAATAGGCTCATTTTACAACTCCCCCAGAGTTAAACTGTTGAGTTTTACCGTTTTTGAATCCATTCAGGCGATCTCCGGTTCTGGCAGTACCACTTTTAGCATAGCTTAGCATACATCATTGAAGTGGACAAGAAGTCCATTAGCATTTCTTAAAAAACTTTACTGCCGTACCATGAGAGCAGCAGGCGTAATGATATGACGCAGCGCCTGAAAATAGGCTACCTTCCGTCAACACAAAGGAACTATTTTCAGGCGCTGCGTCATATCATTACGCCTGCTGCTCTCATGGTACGGCAGTAAAGTTTCTTGATTATTACGCAGGAATGAGAGTATAGTTCCTAGCCATATC